GACACTATTTTATTTGTGCGATTTACATTTGTTATATTATAATAATTTATTTAACTTACGACATATAACTACATTGAACATAAGTATATCAGTTGAGAAATAATTTTATTTTTCTAATGAATTTTAATAAATATTAATATTTATTATTGTTGTGTACAAATTATTATTATTTTTACCGAGTAATGAATTGGAAGATTCGTTCCCTGGGTCGATCTCACGAGGAAGGCGGTTCGGAATTCAGCTTTGGTATTGATAGCACATAAAAGCAAAATAAATCCTAAACATACTAATCAAAGAAGGGATTGAATATTTATTAACCAAGAAATAAAATAGAGCAACAATCCACCTAAAAATATAAACGAAATAAAGATGGAGAAACTAGGGAGTCGGGGATAATTAATTCAAGTTGTAGCAAGACCAGACAATTCATTGTTCGGTTCGAGATTGACACTCTCGCTTAGACATCTAGCGGTTCGCTCCCAATAACTCTTCGTAACAAGGGATTGAACATAGACGAACAAGTTCGAGCATACAACACAGGCCAATTATCCTAATCCCAATAACTTTTCGTAACAAGGGACGGGTCATCGACAAGTGCGTATTTCAATCTAAAACACGTAGATTAGTCAATTATGACATCGTCTACCTCATGTGAGTCTAGGTCTACGACTTTTCCCCTTTCGGTTCTACAAGTCGCTAATTCAATTAGAAGGGTATTAATCAACTAATCATTGGAATCAATAAAACCAAACTCGACAACTCAATATCCAATTGTTACCAACTGCAAGATCGAAGTGTCACCCTTCGATTACATCAAACAATCAAGCACAATTTAATCAATTCCTAATCAAATTAACCCACACAAGAATGAACAATTCAAGCCCGAGAGATACAAATTAAACAAGAATAATCATTCCCTATCCCTAGCAATAAGAATTAGCTACGTAAAATCAATTCAACAATATCAATCATCTCTTTAAATTCAACCATAATTCATGAATTAAAGATAAAGAGAAGAACTTACAATAAATTGCAATTCCAAGTGTTGAATTTGAATTACAAGCTTAATCTAAGAAAAAGAAGAAGAAAAATGGAGAAGAATGATGGAGAGAAGCAGAAAAACGATGAAGAGGAAGAAGAATGGAGGAGATGAGAATTTCTTTCGTATTTTCTAGCCCTAGGTTCGTCCCCAGGAGGGGGAGAATAATCTCTCTGAAGTCCCGATCCCCTATTTATATGTGGCAGGATTCCTCGGTGTGAAAGGCCGTGAGTGCCGCGGCGCGTGGGTCCATCGCGGCGTGGAAGAGGTCTTCATCACGCCGCGGAGGGGCTTCACGGCGTGGAGGATGTGTTCGTCGCGCCGCGGAGGGTCTTCACGCCGCGGAGCTGGGCGCAGGCATTCTGAAGGTGTGTCGCGAGCTCGTCGTGCCGCGACGCGGGCGCGACGCGTAGGGTTGTAAACAAATCAAACATTTTTTATTCGATTCGTGATTCGAATTCAATATTCGTGATTCGAATTCAAAATATTCGAATTCGAATTCGAATGATGTTTTAGATTCGAAATTATAACGAATTCGAATCCGAATGTGTAGATATTCGATTCGAAATTCGAATATTCGATCCTTTAACAATAATTATATAAATTTTACAAATTATATATAATATACATTTTGTTTATAATATATGTATATATATATTGTTATATTCCTAATATTTTTATGGCATAAAAATTAAAAACATCATAAATTAACAAATTTTTTCTAAAAATATATGAAAAATAAAATTTATTTTTGTAATTATAATATTTTTATACAAATTATATATAATATACATTTTGTTTATAATATATGTGTATGTATATATAGTTATATTCCTAATATTTTTATGACATAAAAATAAAAACATCATAAAT